AGCAAGCAAGAACTTTAGATTAGGTGAGGGCTTTAGATATCATGGAGCCCTAGTGGTGCAGTGGTTAAGAGCTCAGGCTGCTAACCAAAAGGATGGCAGTTCGAATCTACCAACCGCTCCTTGGAAACCCTATGGGGCAGTTCTACTGTATCCTATAGGGTCACTATGAGTCAGAACTGACTCAACGACAATGAGTTTGGTTTGGTTTAGATATCATGTGGTCCAACCACTTAGATAAGAAAACTAGAACCCAGAGATGTTAAAGTACTTGTTCAAGGTTACAACTGGTTAGTGTACTGGACCTCAGCTCAGCGCACTTTATTCCTCATCAAACTATCATGTTTTGAAGTAGATTTTTTATTTATGAGGTTAACACATGGTCTTGTGTTACCATCATCCACTAGCAAGTCTTGGAATTAACACTGGAAATCTAAGAGGGGAAGTTTCCTCATAGGATTAGAGGGTCCTGCTGTGGACATCATTGCTCACATCATTCCCAGCCTGCAAGGGCAAAGTCTGACCCAAAAGTTCTCCTTCACAGCTTGCCCCCAAGGAGATAGAAACAGGAGTTAAAAAATAACTACAAACACATACAAAGAATGAGGTAACAAACACCCATGAATCTAATCCCCTCCCTCCAGATTAACAGATGTTAACCCTTTACCATGTTTCTTTTAGGATTTTTTCCAAAGAAATAAAACACTACAGGTAGATTGAAGTCTTCCTTATACCTCTTTTTGATCCCAATTCATTCCTCCCCTCCTTCCCAGGTGCACTCGTTATCCTGAAGTCAGTGAGTCTCCTTCCTGTCCACATCTTTATAATTTTATTTCATTTCTAACAGCACATTGTGTTGTTCAATATATTTTGGAAATCTACATAAATGATATACTTTAAGAACCATTCTTCAACTTAATTTTTTCAGTTAACTTTGTTTCCAATATTTATCTTTATTATTTATTCATTTTCATCTCTGTAAGGTACTCCATTCATATGTATATAATATACTTTAAGTTCTTTTTCTCTTTCCCCTGGTAATGAACATTCATATTATTTCTTTCCTTCCTTCCTCCTTCTCTCCCTCTCTCCTTCCCTCCCTCCATTCCTGTTTTATTTATTTATTTTTTTGTAGCCATTACAAACAATGCTGCAAGGAACATCTTTGTCCATTTCCTTCTGCCCAAGTGTGACGATTGATCTGGGTAGATGCAAGATCTGGAGTCAGTAGAATTGCTGAGCTGGAAAGTTTGTGTAGCTTCAACCTCACTAAATATTGCCCAATTTTTATCCAAATTGTTGGACACTTTGCATTCTCATTTTCGAGGGCTCCCATTTCAATGTGAGAAATTGGAAACACTTGTCATCAGCAACATCATCTGAGACCCAGTCTCCCCTCCTCCTCACCCCTCACTCTCGTCTTTTGATAAAGATAACCTACTCCCACAGGGTAGTCTGTGCCTGTCCCTCCCTGGGTCTTGCCCATCAGCCTCAGCTCCAGGACTGACAGGCCCAGAAGGGGGAGGCTGGGCTCTTGGCTGCGAATGGGAAGAATGTGTCTGCCCCAATTCTGACCCAGGCTCCCATCGGGGAGGGGCTGCTGATGAAAGAGAGCACTCGTTTTCCTTACAGTCTTATCTCTCATAGAAGAAAAAGTACTTGTATCCTTCCTTCACTCAATTATTCAACACATATTTACTGAGTGCCTACTATGACCCGGCGATTCTAGGTGCTATTGCTGTGAGCTGACATCAAGCTGGACGCCATGCACAACAGGACCAAACAGTGCCCAGTCCTGCACCATCCTCATGAATGGATCAGATCATTGTGATCCACAGGGTTTTCATTGGCTGGTTTTCAGAAGTAGATTGTTAGGCCTTTCTTCCTAGTCCATCTTAGTCTGGAAGCTCCACTGAAACCTCAGCATCGTAGAAACCAGTAAGCCTCCACTGACAGATGGGTGATGGCTCTGCATGAGGTGCATTGGCTGGGATTTGACCCCGCATGGGAGAATTCTGCCAAGTATCCACTGATCCATAGAATTTTCATTGGCTGATGTTCAGTGCTGGGGATGAGGCCACCTAAGTACACAAAGTCAACATAGACCTCTGCCCTCACAGAGGTTCCATTCTATGGGGTAAGGCAATAAATAATAAACATAGTGTATAAGTAAATGACATCATACATTAGAACATAATAAGAGCTGTGAGTACAGGGAAACTAAAGCACTATAAGGGGAATCAGGAATTCTGGATGTGGAGGTTACCCTTGTAAATAGGATAGGCAAAGGAGGCCTCGCTGGGAAGGGACATTTGAGCAAAGACTTGAAAGAGGAGAGGCAGTGAGCCCTGCAGACATCGGAGGAAGAGGGACCGAGCCAGAGAGGGAGGAGGACTTTTGCTTTATCAGTTGTCTACGTCAGTGTTGGGAACAGTGGTAGTTCAGTGGTAGGAAATCTTGCTTTCCATGTGAGAGACCCTGGTTTGATTCCCAGCCAGTGCCCCTCATAAACAGGTTTCAGTGGAACTTCCAGACTAAGAGGGACTAGGAAGAAAGGTCTGGTGATCTACTTCTGAAAATCAGCCAGTGAAAATACTATGGATCACAATGGTCTGTTTTGTTCCGTTGTGCATGGGATTACTATGAGTCAGGGGCCGACTTGACGGCAGCTAACAGCAGGTCAGTGTTAGTATAAGGTTTCATATTTTGTTTTGTTCAGCTCTGGATGTATTTATTTATTTTTTAATAGGCTTTCTTTTCTAGAGCAGTTTTAGGTTTACAGAAAAATTGCTACAGAAAATACAGAGAGCTCCTGTTATGGATTGAATTGTGTCCCCCCAAAATATGTGTCAACTTGGCGAGGCCATGATTCCCAGTATTGTGTGGTTGTCCTCCATTTTGTGATTGATATAATTTTCCTATGTGTTGTAAACCCTAATCTCTGCCTGTGGCTAATGAGGCAAGATTAGATTACGTTAAAGAGAATTAGGGTGTGAAGTAACACCCTTACTCAGGTCACATCCCTGATCCAATATAAAGGGAGTTTCCCTGGGGTGTGGCCTTCATCACCTTTTATCCTACAAGAGATAAAAGGAAAGAGAAGTGAGCAGAGAGTTGGGGACCTCATACCACCAAGAAAGCAACCCCAGGAGCAGAGGGAATTTCTTTGGACCTGGGGTTCCTGCGCGGAGAAGTTCCTAGTCCAGGGGAAGATTGATGAGAAGGACCTTCCCCGAGAACCAACAGAAAGAAAGCCTTTCCCTGGAGCTGACACTCTGAATTTGGACTTGTAGCCTACCAGACTGTGAGAAAATAAATTTCTCTTTGTTAAAGCCATCACTTGTGGTATTTCTGTTATAGCAGCACTAGATAACTAAGGCAGCTCCCATATACCCCTTCTTCCCCCTGCACACAGTTTCCCCTGTTAACATCTCGTGCTCCTGTGGTACATTTGTTACGATTGGTGAAAAAATATTGATCAGTATTATTAACCAAAGTCCATAGTTTACATTAGAGTTCACTCTGTGTTGTACAGTCCTGTGAGTTTTGACAAATGCATGATGTCATGTGTCCACATTTACAGTATCTTGCAGAATAACTTTACTGTCCAATTCACTTTTAAAATAATTCTGCTGTAAAAAGAGAAAGAAAAGCAAAAAGAAGGGAATCACTGATTCAGACAAACAAATAAATATGTTCATGGAGTCCCATTTACCGGGATTTCAAGCATTTGCCGAGTTTTCCACATTGAGGCCAACTAGAATATGAACTCCCTGTAGACAAGGCCACATTTCCCCCATGAAGGGCCTAACAGAGCTTTGCTCTCATATGTATTTGCCATGGAAATGGCTAGCAGGATAAAACTGTCTAAGACAGTGTCTAACAGTAGGAAAGATGAAGCCAAAGGTCCCAATTTCCTGGGGGAGAGGAGAGACGGGCAGCTGGTTGCGTTCCTCCTCATAGGCTCCCAGACTCAGATTCTCAGAATGTGTGAAAGTCACTTCCATGTCCATTTTGGGGAGGAGAAGATGCTTTTGCTCAGGGTAGGTGTCTCCTCCTTTGCCCTCCCCGCAGTGGGTATGAGCAGTTGTTAACACAACTGCACTTTATCAGGCCATCTCCTGCCATGAATCACTCCGGCAGTGAGTATAACATTTGCACTGGCAGGAGGCCCTCACCGATACCACTACGGACTGGCTTAAGGTCACATCTCAGTAGACTCCCATGAGATAAGGGAGGGAGGGTGTTCTGAATCTCAAATCCCTCAGCCAAGATGACTACATAGCATGGCATTTTTCTCTATCAGCAAACTTGTTGGTTTTTTTTATCGCTATAGTTTAAGTGAAAGTTTACAATTCAAGTTAGTCTCTCATACAAAAATTTATACATACATCATGTGGCACTAATTGCTCTCCCTATACCGTGACAGCACACTCCTCCTTTCCATCCCTGATTTCCCGTGTCCATTCAACCAGCTCCTGACCCTTTCTGCCTTCTCATCTCACCTCTGGACAGGAGCTGCCCATTTAGTCTCATGTATCTACTTGAGCTAAGAAGCACACTCTGCAGGAGTATCATTTTATGTCCCACAGTCCAGTCCAATCTTTCTCTGAAGAGTTGGCCACTGGAATGGTTTTAGTTCTGGGTCGACAGACAGTCTGGGGGCCATGCTTTCTGGGGTTCATCCAGTCTCAGTCAGACCATTAAGTCTGGTCTTTTTACTAGAATTTGAGTTCTGCACCCCACCTTTCCCCCGCTCCATCAGGGACTCTCTGTTGTGTTCCCTGCCAGGGCGGTCATCGATTTTGCTTTCACATGTTTAGGGAACACCTTTTAATCAGCAGAGATTACTTGGCATGGAGGACGGCTGAACCTCCTTAGGCAAATGTTATCTAACACTCTTTAAGCAAATAGAGGCTGCGGTATAAAATCAAGGGCTCCCACAGATTCTCATCCTTGACTTGCCGTCTCTTTGGAGCAGAGAGCAAGAAGGCAAAGCCACCATGGAGCACAAAGTCGTCTTCGTCCTGGCCATTGTCCTCACGCTGGCCCTCAGCACGCTGTCGGAGACCCTGGCTGGTAAGACGCTCCTCACCCTGCTTCTTGCTCTAGGTCAAGGTTGGCCTCTATCAGGAGTCACTGCTGGACAATAGCTGGTTCTGAGTGCCTGCTTTTGTTCTAGGCCCTTGTACCACCAGTTGCCGTGGAGTTGATCTGGACTCATGGTGACCCCATGTATGTCAGAGTAGAGCTGTGTCCATAGGTTTGTTTCTTCTTTTTTTTTTTCTTTCATGGAGATCAAAGTTTATTAGTGGCCACCACAGGCTGGTGAGAGGCAAAGGGAAAGGAAGACATGATGCCTAGGGAACACTGAGCTTCTGTTAAGGGCAATGGAAAAATTCGGCAGTGGTTAACGATGATAGTTGAATAATACAATGAACGTAATCAATGTCACTGAACTGTACAACAGTGAAGATTGCAGAAACAGCAATGTCTTGTTACTTATATATTTGTTGTTGTTAAGGCTCCATGGGGGTTCTTTAAGGCTGGCTTTTCAGAGTAGCTCACAAAGCCTTTCTTCTGAGGCACTTCTGGGTGGACTTGAACCTCCAAACATTTGGTTAACAGCTGAGCGTGTTAGTTATTTGTGCCACCCAGGGTCTAAGCACTTGGAAGTATATCCTATTTTACAGGAAAAGCTAAAGCTGGTGGAGAACAGAACCAGGATGAGAGAGTCCCATGGAGACCTTTGAGAAATGCTACAAGAAAATCAATGCCGTAGGTTGATAGCCATCTTCCAGATTAACGCTAGAATATTATGATGTTCTTAAGTGTCATGTTTTCAAGGGGAATCTTTGGCGTGGGGAATAAAAATAGCTTTTTCAAATGCCCCAGCCAAAGCTCAGCCCAAGGTGTGGACTCACCCAAGGTCCTCACGGATATGTCGAAGCGCCTCTTCCATTGATGGGCCTCTTTGAAACCCTCTCTGGTAGGGTCTGTCACCCTTGGGCTCCGTGTTCTGGAGAGACAAAGCCACTTCTCCCATTGGCTCACCTCCCATCAGCACCTTTGTTATTTGTGCCGTCCAGCTTTTCCTGGTGGCGCAGATCCTTCCAGAGAATTGGGCAAGTGGGGCAGGGTGGTGCTCTATTGTTTCATTTGAATGTGTTTTTGCCTCAATTCCCTTATCTGGGATCAATAATCTGCCTTATAAGGTTGTCAAGACAATTAAACATGTCGATGTTTGCGAAAAGTGCTTTGCCACCTTCCAACTACTAAATAAATATTATTATTGTTAGACACATTTTTAAACCTGGGGTGGGAGATGGAAGGAAGAATTTTCCAGTTTTCAAAATAAGTTTCCATAACAGATTTGAGAAAGAGCTAGAGAGTGGCTTCCCTTGGACACCTTCAAACTACCTCGTGGTGAATGAGATATGGGCTGGGGTGGTGAGGAGGGTGGGTTTGGGCAGTAGGAAGACAGAAGGCATCAAGTCATAGCTTTGAAGTCTCCAGAAGCCTATGGCAAGGAAGAGCGAGTGGCCTTTGAAACCAGAGGAGGAAATTGCTTTTGTGTTGAGGGTGAACCAAGTGTGAGGTCGCTGCTCCCAGACCCCTCCCCAGGCTTCTCTCCCTCCCCCCTTGCCTCCTGCACTCCAGTACCAGCTCGGCCCACTGCACTGTGCAGCTCAAGGGGCCACAGCCCACCCCCTCCCACAAGTCAGGACAAGACCACTCATCACAGGCTGGGTGCTGGCCCACCCACTTGCCCCTGTCCTCTAGCCCAAGGGATATTTCTTTTGGGTCATGCAGAGTCAGTAATCCTGCTACAGTGGAAATCTAGAAAACATCAATTACAAGTGTAGCCCACAAATGAAATAATTTCCAAGGAGTTCCATTATGAGACAGTAAAGGGGTGCACAAGACAGGACCGTGTAGTAGACAGAACCATCGGTCTGGAAATCTTTAATGCCTCCTTAGGAATACCAACTGGGAGGGAGTCTGGTTACTCCAGCAAGGCCCCCTCCCCACCCCCTATCGCTGCCCCATCTCACTCCTTGTAAGGAGGGAGAGGAATGGAGAATGCTGAAGCCAAGCACTTACTCCCCTAGCCCCTGGTAATCTTCACAACTGCCCTATGGGTAGGCTAATGGGCATCTTCCTTTTATGAATGGGGAATGAGACTCTGGGAGGTTGGTGCCTCACAGAGGCTACCAGCTAGGGGGAGATGGATCCAGATCTTTCCTTCTTCAAAGAGAGTTTGAGCCAAGCCCCAGACATCAAAGCTGACTGGCGGAGAGCATCTCGGGCCGTGGACTCAGCAGATAGATCGCTATGTCTGGACCATTCTTTCTGCATTTAACTAGAAACAAACGTAGCCATCCTGACTTCCCAGTTTAGGAAAATAGCATCCCACAGCTATCTATTTTTGAAAGATTGTTTTTTTTTTTTCGTAGTACCTGATGCCCCAGGTCAAGGTGAGCCCCCCTGCCCATCCTGACCTCTGTCCAGCCCTGCCTTTCCTGTTCTCTTTGCCTTCTGCATAGACTACTTTACTGCTCCCATTCCTGTAATATCAGTGCTCCCAAGACCTTGCTCCTCCACTCTCTTCTCTTCCTGTTCTTCACCCAGCGATGAACTCTGACCTGGAAGCAGAGTCCTCAGCTCATGTACCATCAGGCCTCTCCTGAGCCCTTACTGGACTCCCCACTAGGATGTCTTCAAGAGCGCCCCCCAACTCGGTGTGCCCTGACTGAGCTCTACCGTCCCTCCAAGTCTCCATGACCAAAGTAGAAGTTCTTCTAGACTCCTCTTTTGTTACTGGTCTCAACCAGTCCACTACTAGATCCTAAGGAGTTTACCTTCTTAGAGCTCTGGACTCTGGCCCCTGAATTCAGATTCTGGAGATCTTGCATCTAGATTATGTGAAATGTGATAGCTGGGTCTTGTCTCCTCCAAGTGTCCTCTCCTTTGGATCGCTTTATTCATCCCCCTTAGTAGCTTCCTTTGCTGTCAGGATGGAATCATCCACCCTAACCCTCAGCTCCTTCTCTTCCTATATCACTCCTCACCACCCCACACTCTGGCATCTTGACTGCAAATGGACTTGCACCTCCTTGAACACACCTTGCTCTTTGTCTTCAAGGCCTTTGAACACGCTGCTGTCTGTGCCTGGAACACTCACTGCCTCAGCCTCATCTGGCCAACCTCTTCCTACAGGAAGCCTTCCTTGCTTTGTTCAGCCTAGTAGTTAGTTGTCCCAGCTGGAGGTTCATATTGTCTCCTGAAATTACCCTTGTACACTGTGATGATCATACTGTTTTTGTTTGTTTTGTTTTTTAACGTTTACTTGGCTTTCTCCTTCATTTAGCTATTAGCTTCTTAACAACTTCCCTATTTTTAATTTCTGAGTCCCCAGTCCTTGTTTCACTACCTGGCACGAGGTCAATCCCTGAGTGACCTTCACTGTCTATTTTTGCTGTGCTATCTCCTGTTCTTAGCACACACCAACAGTGTTTAAAAAACAACAACAACAAAAAAAAAAAAACAACAAACAAACCTGTTGCCGTCGAGTCGATTCTGACTCATAGCAACCCTACAGGACAGAGTAGAACTGCCCTGTAGGGTTTAAAAGGAGCGGCTGGTGGATTCAAACTACCGACCTTTTTGTTAGCAGCTGAACTCTTAACCACTATGCCACAGGGTTTCCAATAGTGCTTAGTCAATATTTATTTATTAAGTGAATGTTATTGTTGATAGTTGCCATCAAGTTGGCTCCAACTCATGGTGACCTTATGTAGAACAGAACAGATCATTGCCTGATCTTACTCCATCTTCATGATTGTTGCTGTTTGGGTCCATTGCTTTGGCTATTGTGTCAATCCATTCCACTGAGGGTTTCCTTCATTTTTGCTGACTCTCTGCTTTGCCAAACGTGATGTCCTTTTCTAGCCATTGGTCCCTCCTGATGACGTGTCCTAAGTAAATGAGTCGAAGTTTTGTCATCTTCGATTCTAAGGAGCATTCTGGTTGTATTTCTTCTAAGACTGAATTGTTCATTCTTCTGGCAGTCCATGGTATATTCAATATTCCTTGCCAACACCACAGTTTGAATGCATCAATTCTTCTGGCTTCCATTTTCACTATCCAACCTGCGCATACATGTGAAGTGGTTGGAAAAACCATGGCTCGGGTCAGGTGCACATTTAGACAAACACAGAGTCAATAAAACTTCATAATTGTTTGTTGAAATTCATCGTGAATGGATAAATGATTTAGGTAGGTCCAAAGTTTATAAACTCTGGGGACTTTGCATTTTTCCTGAGCTCAAGTGTTTGAGCATCAGGAGATGAGGAAACCATCTCCTGCTTGCATCCTGAGCCCTGACTCCACCTGTGCCTGGCCAGGTGGTTGCTGATTTCATTGGAGAAGGAAACTGGGGTGGAGTGTGTATAGTAAGATCTAGGAATTCAGCCATGACTTACCTTTGCCTCTTGTCCGTATACTTTCAGACACGTGTGTCGTGCAGGCTCATCAAAGAAGTAATTGTGGCTACCCTGGTGTCACGCGTGAGGAGTGTCAAAGTAAAGGCTGCTGTTTTGATGACAAGATTGTTGGAGTCCCCTGGTGTTACTACCCCGCAGCTGTAGAAGAAGGTATGGCCACGACTAAGCTATGGGGTTTGAAGATCTGGAATTAGTGAGAAAAAAAGACACTGGGGACTAGGGGGGCCCTAATCAGCATCACCAGCTGTGTTTTTGCTCAGAATAATGGCCAAAGGATGGCTGTGAAGCAGTAGTTTAGCCTAAATCAGGCTGAATTCAGGTCTGGGGGATGGAAAGGTAGGGCCGAAAGATTGCTTGCCAAGGAACTCTATCTTTTCCCTGCTTCTTCTTCAGCTCTTTTAACCAAGAGCCTTGAAAGAATCATCCTTAGTTCTACTTAATAACTTGTTTGGGGTGGAAGTGGAAGAAATGCAATTAAAATATGAAGATGTTTTCTAAAGAACATTCTTATTGATACATCATAGTCAAATTCTCTGTAATTGGTTAAAAGTAAAAGAAAATACTTATTCTCACTGACCCATCTCTCCTTCTCCCACACCTCACCATTTTAGAGTGTGAGTTTTAGAAGGTTTCTTCAGGAAGCTGCTTGCACCATGACTCGGAATCCGTCCTCTGCACCTGGCCCTGGAACTCAGTCACCTCGTTGAGCAGACACGTCGGAAGTGCACCCAGAGCTTGGCAGTCTACTTCTGCACTCTGCCTTAGCTCACTTCTTAGATTGACTGCTCTGAATTTGAGTACTGAAAACTAGCCTAAAAATTAAAAGAGGTGAATGCTATTCTGTACTTTCATTCCTTTTTAAAAATATGAAATCTTTTCCTTCCTTTAAAAGAGAAGTGCAATATTTTCTTTTCTGGCTTCTTGTCATTGATTACACATTAATCGAGAGTCTCAAAGTTGAGATATGAGGGAGGGGAGGCGGGCAGAGCAGAAAGAGTGTGCTGTTTAAGTTGACTGGTAGATTTTAGTAGTAGGTATTGATGTCACAGCCCGTTAGGTTTCAGGCATTTCTGTGAGATTGCAAAGTCAAGAAAAGAGTCTAAGACCCTCTCTTGCCAAGTCATGAAAACAGGCTCTATCTGAGCTTCCTAGGGCTGCCATGACAAAATACCACAAAATGGGTAGCTTTAAAGAACAGAAATATACTTTCTCACAGTTTTGGAGGCCAGAAGTCCAAATCAGAATCTCGGCCATGTCAATTCCTTCTGTGTACTTTGAGAGAAGAACTGGTCCATGCCTCCGTCCTTGTTTCTGGTGGCTGCTGGCAGTTCTTGGCATTCTTTTGCTTGTAGATATCTCTTCACATGGAGTGTCCCCGCTATGCATGACCCTGCCTCCATGTCTGGTCTGTTTGCCTCTTCTCTAAGGCATCGCTCAAAAGGGATCAGGACTAGGACCAACCCTATCCCGGAATGACTTTGTTTAATTTAACTTTTGACAACAACTATAAAAAATCCTATTTCCCCAAACAAGGTCATAGTCACATGGAAAGGGGACTAGAACTCCAGCATACCTTTCTGGGGGATACAATTCAATCTATAACAGGCACGAACTCTACTAACATGCTTTACATATTTTTTGTGGATGCTCCAACAACCACGTATTAAAAATTACTTTTCAATTCCTTTACTTCCCCAAAATGGAAACTGGCATAAGAGATGATATCCGTAGCAAAATGTCTGAAACTGTTAATATTAAAAATTCCAGAGAATGGCATGTATTGACATCTCACCTAGCTCTGAATGAACTGAGAAACAGAACAAAAGGGAGAGATTCAGAGGCCGAATGTCACCTTATCAATTACCAAGGCAAACTGGAAGGACGTGGAGCCCAATGCGCTGGCCAGCTCCACTGGGAATGAAACAGGCTCCTCACCTGGGCGGGCAGTGGTAGACTGAGCAGCCCCTGCAGGGGGCAGAGCACATGTCAAGGGTCCCTACAGTGCCTTTGTGAGGATTAGAGCAGGGCGCTCCCCTCTGGACAGGCACAGCTCTGCTCCAGGGAGCTCCGCTAAGCAAGCTGAGTGCAAGCTGGATTCTTCCTCCACTCGTACCCCCACCCCCAAGTGTACCCCATGTACAATCTGCACAATTTCACATGGGGTCCCAGGAGCAGTGGTGAACCCCTGCTCTCTGCAGCCAGGCTGGTTCCCAAGAAGAAGAAGGGCGGTGCTGAGCTGTGTATGACCAGTCTTATCTTCTCAGATTTACCAGTCAGGTAAATCACTCCCCGACTCCTTGGCCACCAGAGTCAGTGAGTAAAGAGGCAGGAGAGGCCAGGCAATGCCCTCCACATGTAGGGGAACATCAGAAATGCGAAGGTGCCCCCACCCATGCACACAACAGCATATAGACGTGTTGCTATAATACCTATTATATACATGCTATGAGGCTCACACATGACTTCTATTACATCTCAAACGTGCAGAAAAATTAGTTTCTCTTTTTTATATACATTTCATCTGATCTTTCTCCCAGTCTCTACCTGCTAGGTAGAGGTAAAACTAAATCTGCTTTATTTACTTCAATCCTTTTAAGAATGCAGTTAATTATAATAATTACCACCGTGTTCGTAGCTAACAATCCTTGGGGGCGGGGTAACCGCTCAGCCAGTCTTATGTGGGCTGCAACCCCCTTTCTGGCTCCTTTCTATTTCTGGGCACATGGGGAAGGGGCTCATGTGGCTTCAGGGCTGTGGAGCAGAGGAGTTCTCCGGTCTACATCGAGTCCTTTGCATTTTCGCTGGCCCGGCGGTGGAGTGGAGGTTGAGCATCCTGAGAGTCTGGTTGGCCTGGTCCCCTGTCCTTTTTCTCCCATAGTTTCCAAGCATTGGAAAGGTGGACTTTCCCCCATGGCATATTGTAGCTGACCTGTTTCCTGGGTACTCAACATCTTTTCCCTCCCTTCTTTCTTACCTAATGTTCACTCCATAAAGAATGGAGAAAATGCTCAGTTTCCTAGCCTTTCTTTAAGCTCCAGTCTTGCCCATGAGACAGAAGGGGGCATGTACTTGAAGGCTTTAGGGAAAGATTTTTTTCCCTCCCTGAGAAAAAGAGTGCCTTCTGGCTGCCCTGGCCAGTCCTGCATCCTGCCTTTGGTTGAGGTAGGACAAGGGTGCCTTGTGGTACTTCAGGCAGCCATCCTGTGATAATGAGGAAAAGTCTTATCATGGCTGAGCTGCTGATTTAACCCAGCATCAACCACCTGCAGACTTTTTGTTAACTAAACCCCAGTCTCCTATGGTTGGGTTTTCTGTTATGTAGCAATAAGAATTACCCTTGTTGTTGGTTGGCTTTGCGTCAGCTCCGACTCATGGCAACCCCATGCACAACAGAACAAATCATTGCCCAGTCCTGTGCCATCTTCACAACCGATCATTGGTCTGCTTGAGTCTATTGTTGCAGCCACCATATATTCTGAGTGCCTTCCAACCTCGCGGGGGCTCATCTTCCAGAACTATATTGGACAATATCTTGTTGTGATCTATAGTGTTTTCATTAGCTAATCTTCAGGCCTTTCTTTCCTAGTCTGTCTTAATCTGGAAGCTCCACTGAAACCTGCCCGCCATGGGTGACCCTGATGGTCAGCATCACAGCAACATGCAAGCCACCACAGTATGCCACACTGACAAACATGGGGTGGAGAAGCATCCTTCCCAAGGTCCATGTCCTCCCTCTACCGTAGAGCAGTGAGCCCCTTGGCTCAGCCACCGTCGGCAGGACAACTCCTCTAAAGTAAGGGGAAAGTCCTTAAGATGGGTCCTCCAGGTTGGATCTTTGGTCTGTTAAAAGGATTGGGGCAATTCATTCTCTCCACCACACCTGGTATTTTACCTGAATTTCTCACTAGTCATGAAGTCCCCTCCCTCTCTGGCCCTGAAGCCATCAGCCTCAAGACTTGACTTCAGGAGTGAACAGCTACAAAGGTCAATGAGTGTGGGGAGAATTAGAAGGCATCACTTTCAGTTTGCACAAGAGGGCAGTGGTGGTTCAGCGGTAGACTTCTCGCCTTCCATGCGGGAGACCCGGGTTCGATTCCTGGCCAAAGCACCACGTGTGCAACCACCACCTGTCTGTCAGTGGAGGCTTGTGTGTTGCTGTGGTGCTGAACAGGTTTCCGCAGAACTTCCAAACTAAGGTGTACTAGAAAGAAAGACCTGACGATCTATTTCTGAAAATCAGCCATTGAAAACCCCATGGATGACAGCAGTCCAATCTGCAACTGATCATGGGGTTGACACAGGGCCAAGCAACATTTCCTTCCACTGCGCGTGGGGTTGCCGTGAGCTGAGGGCTGACACGATGGCAGCTAACATAACATAACCCATTCATTTGCAAAAGCAACTCCATTATAAATGATACCTCATCCCTATCATCTTCATTCTATAAGTGAGGAAGTGGTGCTGAGGAATGTTTAATAATTTGCCTAAAGGAGCAAACACACAAATCAGACTGCCACATCAGATGCCCATGAATCAGAAATCTTTCCTGAATAAAAAAAAAAAAAAAAAAACATCGCTGTCAAGTCAACTCTAACTCATAGTGACCCTATAGGACAGAGAAGAACTGCCCCATAGAGTTTCCAAGGAGTGGCTGGTGGATTTGAACTGCCAACCTTTTGGTTAGCAGCTGTAGCTCTTAACCACTACGCCACCAGGGTTTCTTCCTGAATCAAGGTGTGCTAATAATCCCAAGGGTGCAGGCAACTGAGAAGTTCAAACAAAGCAGAGAGATGACTCGAGCATCAAGGGTGATACCCAAGATTTGTCCTTCCTGTGTCAGAGATGCCCTTCTAGCCACCCAAAATAGATGAGGCCTCCAGATGAGGCTCACGTCTCAGGGAGAGGTTAATCAGGAAACGTCTCCACTTGGTCACCTGGACAGCTGTAGAAGTGACGTTTTCCAGGAAGCCATGGCACATAGGTTCTGGACTTACTTGCTTCATGTATTCCTTCGGCCAGGGCGAAGCCTACTAAGGGCAGTCACTAGACAAGTGACTTCCTAGAAAATGCCATTGGACTGTGGACCCAAGATCCAGTTGATAAGGAGATTAGGTGGGGTCACCTCCCTTTATTTCCCCTAAAATGCCTAG